AAGTGTGAATTGCATCCTATAGATTTTTGGAAAATTCACATAGGAAGTGTAAAAGTCTGCGAAAAGAGGCGTGGAGGCGAAGAGAAGAGGAAGAAGCTTCTCAAATTTTGATTAAACTTTTTTCACAATGAAATTGCGAGTTTCCAGAACTCATAAACTGCGTTGCCAAGGGTTGCCATTCTGCAGCACCAGGTCGCATCGATTGTTAAAAGCTCGCAACGAGCTCATTCTTTGGCAGAGAAATTCCTCTCCCTACATTCAACTACTATGTATCTCGCCGAGCAATTTTATTAATTAAACGGATATTTTGCAGAAGGCGGAATTGTTCATCCAATGAAGACAGCTACTGTTTTCCTCCAAAGACGATATTGCTAACCCTGCAACACTACTGCGCCTAAGAATTAGAAGCGTGTCTTCACCCCTTTTCTGTTTTACATGCTGAAATCACAGAGAGTTGAAATTCGTACACCCTCTCCTCTCCCTCCCCCCGCCTCCCCTCCTTCCCCAAACCCAACCTACCTCCTCTCGAAACCCCATCCGTCTTCTTCCCAAACTCCATCCATCTCCCCGAACCCTCACGCACTCCTTCCCCCTTCTTCCCTGTACACTGGCGGTTTTAGTGTTTCTGGGAACACGTATAGCTAAAACTCATAAACGCACAGATACCATAATGCGTTACGATATTTATAAAATGACTAAGACCGTCCGGACAACCAGTGTGAGTGTCCCATTTTAGCAGTTTCACCTTAAATAGTGCGAGGACTTTTTTGCGGGATTTTACGGGAACAGTTGTGCATTCAAAACTGTTTTTATTAGTTTCCTCATTAAAATCTAATCACTATTATCCCAAATTTTGCTTGACTCTTTATTTGAAATTAAGTTTGCCGTTAGCGACTGGTGCATAAAGTGCAAGCTGACGTCGATCCGGATTAACTCGCTTATCGATTCCAAATGTACTAGCGAAAAAGCTTAAAAAATAATTTACATGATGCGAATCGCCGAAATTCAGATGCAGCTCAAGTTCGCCTTTGATGAGCAGAAGTAAAATGCGATGATTTGATGATTTTGTCGATTTGGTGTCCAATAAAACTGCTCGCTCATCACTGCTTCGGAATTTGCACTCAATCGTTTCAGCCTCACTTTCAAGCGGAATCGGCAGCAGTAATGAGGGCACATCATTTGTTGAAAAATCCACGAAATCAGGCTCTGTAAGAGTTGGAAAATTTTGAGGAAGAAAGGAAATTGCATCTTACGTTTATTCAGAACAACCCTAAACGTGAATTCCAAATAATGTGATTGTTGTCCTCAAAGTCTGGCAAGACTGACCAGCACTCAATTCACGACCTGGCAAGACAGTGCTTTGTTATATTTTCCACAATCTTTTACCGTCCAGGATAACAGTTAACATTTTTTGTTGGGATGTTTTTGCCTCAGCGTCGCAATCTTTTGTATCGTTTTATTCAGCTTTTCAGTCAAATTTTCCAGTTTTGGTATGCCCTGTAAGTTTTGAAATACTTAACAAGGCAGATACCTGTGTCACAGATTGGTCCTTCCATTGTTGACACGGAACAGTCGCAACGGAAATGAGTATAACCGTTTTCACAGCGGCCGAAATTCTTGCACGGCGTTGAGGCGCAAAAATCCTGATTAACTTTTGCTGGGCATCCGTGACTGACACCTGAAAAATACCGC